GATCGAGCTGGGCACATCTGCGCGGTGGAGGCGCTCGAGATCTATGCAGGTTGGGCCAATGAGAGGTTCTCGGGCGCGCAGATGTACGATCCCCTGTTCGCCTTCCACGACGTGCACCTGGTGACGCGTGCTGACGTCCAGCGAGTGGTGATGCAGTCGGCGGTGGCGGAGGGCATGGGCCCGAACGATCTAGGCTCGCGCGGTCTGAGGATCGGAGGAGCGTCGGCGCTGTGCGCGGCGTTCAAGGACACCGCTTCGGCGCAGCGCTGGGGCAGGTGGAACAGCGACCCCTTCCAGGGGCACCTGTGGGAGGCGCGCGGCACGGCAGAGGGGGTTGCCAGCTGCATGGCGGCCACTGACATCACGATGGTTTGAGAGGTTGCGCCGTCGCGTTGGCCTGAGGCTCAGAGCGCGTGGGCAGCGGGGGCCGATCAGGCCTGAGCTGAGAGCGCAGGGGGGTTTCGAGGCTGGCAGCGCGGCGTCAGGCATAGCCGGGAGTTCTGGGCCGCGCGGGGCCAGGCCCCCCCGCCGGTGCGCGCGGGGGCCCTCGAGGTGGGCCCCGCGGCGCGCAAGGAGGAGGTCTGGTGCGGGAGGCGCCGGATGGGGCGGCGATGAGCCGCCAAGAGAGCACGAGGGGGGTCCAGCGGCGGCGAGGGTCGCCAGCCGCAGAGCTCGCGCCCGCGAGTTGGATCGCGGGCGCCATCACGCTGATGAAAAGGAGCGCCCGCCCTGAGGAGGAGGAGGAGGAGAAAGGAGTAGGATGTTGGCGGCCTGAAGGCCCAGGGCCAGCAGGCCCAGGCGAGCCCGATCCGCCTGAGGTTTGGAGGCGGAGAGTCCAGGAGGAAACGTGATCGTTCGTGAGCACAGTGGGTTTCCTCCCGCCTCGTAGCCTCCTCCCCCGCTGTCCTCCTCCGCCGCCGTTTGCTCGAGGCCCCTGCGGAGCCGCCAATGATTTCGGGGCCCCGCCCACCCGCGCCAGAGGGGTGGGGCCCCGGCCGCGTTTGCTCGGCGGGTCCCACAAGGGGGCTCGCACGCGCTTGCCGCATAGCGGTCGGCGCGGTCTTCGCCCCCCGCGAGGCCTCTCGCGGGGGCCCAGCGGCGGCGGGGGTCGCCAGCCGCAGAGCTCGCGCCCGCGAGTTGGATCGCGGGCGCCATCATGCCGATGAAAAAGGAGCGCCCGCCCTGAGGAGGAGGAGGAGAAAGGAGTGGGATGTTGGCGGCCTGTGGGCTCAGGGCCAGCAGGCCCAGGCGAGCCCGATCCGCCTGAGGTTTGGAGGCGGAGAGTCCAGGAATAAACGTGATCGTTCGTGAGAACAATGGGTTTCCTCCCGCCTCGTAGCCCCCCCCCCCGCTGTCCTCCTCCGCCGCCGTTTGCTCAACGCCCCTGCGGAGCCGCCAATGATTTCTGGGCCCCACCCACCCGCGCCAGAGGGGTGGGGCCCCGGCCGCGTTTGCTCGGCGGGCCCCACAAGGGGGCTCGCACGCGCTTGCCGCATAGCGGTCGGCGCGGTCTTCGCCCCCCGCGAGGCCTCTCGCGGGGGCCCAGCGGCGGCGGGGGTCGCCAGCCGCAGAGCTCGCGCCCGCGAGTTGGATCGCGGGCGCCATCATGCCGATGAAAAAGGAGCGCCCGCCCCGAGGAGGAGGAGGAGAGAGGAGTGGGACGTCGGCGGCCTGAGGGCTCAGGGCCAGCAGGCCCAGGCGAGCCCGATCCGCCTGAGGTTTGGAGGCGGAGAGTCCAGGAGGAAACCGCGTTGCCTCTCGCCCGCGGCAGCGCGCGCAAAACTCATCGCATCGAACAAAACGATCATCGCAAACGCCCCTACCGCGCGGGGTAAAGTCGCGAGGGCCACCTTAGGGTATCTGAAGCACCGCGACGCCCCCGCACATCTTGCGCGCCCGAAATGGGCGCGGAAACAATGGGCGCACTGCCCAACAGAAGATGTTGCCCCGAACCAACAGCGGTCACCGTTTGGCAGGGCGCCTCCTGTCAAATGGGCGCAGGCCGCGGCGGCGCGGACAGCGAGTCCTGTTCAGAATGAACAGGAACACCTGTTGGGCATTCTACCGATTCTTCCCGTGCCTATGTCTGTCCCCCCGACATATGGGTCGCGCGCTGCGTTCCTCTGCGAAGCGGCCCCCCCGTCCGCGGGCGGGGCCGGCACGGGGGGGGGCGCGCAGCAGCGGCAATCATATCCGCTGTCGACCCGGCCCACGACGACGCCGCAGAAGACGCGCCAGCGGGGTCCCGCTGCGCCCGATGATAGCCCAGCTAACAACGACGCAGCATGCCCCGCGCGGCTTCCCGGCCCCAGATCGCCCAAGCGGCCTTCTGTGAATGGGGCCCTTGGGACGCGCAAATAAATCTGCACAAATAAAAGGATTCCCAATTTTTCCCATATTGTACAAGTTTCTGTCTTCCCCCCCACTGCCCATATTTCTTATTTGTTCTAAGGAATCGACGATTAATGGTGTCTGTGTGTTTCCCCCCCCTGATTCTGGTTTGCCTCGCGAGCGCTGGCAGTGGCCTTCTCCTCGGCGTGCGCTTCGACAAGTTGCATCTCCCCCCGAGCGCGTTGTACTTCGGCCGCAGAAGGAGCGTAGCTCACACTGGCACAAGTTCGATCCGCCTCGGCCTGCTTGACGGCAGCGGCAGCTTCCGCGGCTAAGCGCGCGTTCCGATCCTCCGCTGCTCGTAGCTCCTGGGCCGCTTGCGACATAGTCGCGTGCCGAGCTTCACTTGCGCCCCGTGCGGCGCGCCTGGCGCTCTCGGCAAGGTGCTTCTCCTGGAGTTGCGCATGGCTTTTCAGATGCAACTGTTGCCTCCTGCCTGTTCGCGAGCCCCCTCGTCTCCGTCGTAGTCGACGCGGCCTGCTAGGCTGCCGCCGCCTGCAGGCGCCCCCCGAGAAATCGCACGGCACTCGCCGCAGCTCCCCGGACACGCTCGAACTGAAGTGTGGCGGAAGCTTGTCGCTGTAATTTCGACTGTCTATCGTAGCTGCATGCGCAGCTCAACCAGATCCCCCCCTGGCCTCCATGATCTCAAACCTCCTATGTTCTTCAACTTCTCGCCACTCATTCACGCGTAAACCTGCGCAAATATGAGATGCAAGGGCGCTGCAAGTGGGGCGCGAGAAGACTGGCAAGTTGTGGAATCCACAAATATCCAACGACCCGGGACAGACCGGATTCTTGCGCCGCCCCAGCGAACCAGAGCATCGGGACCAAGGAACCACGGCGCATCGCGGTCCGAAAGAAACACACTTAAAATGAATGCGCATGCTGAATGCACTCGAGACCCGATATGTTGGATAAGTCGGACGCTTTCGAGCGCAGCCTTGGGGCCCTGGAACTACCACTCTCAGTGCTCCTCTTGAGGGTAGAGCGGGTCTGCGGTCAGGCGTCTCGTACATCGTGGTCGACGGTCGATGGCCAGACTCGGCAGGATGTCGTTGATTGCGCATAGCTCCCGGCCCCCCCCCCCCCGCAGCGGGCACAGGGCCGTCCTCGGGGATGCCGTCGGATCCCATCAGCTTACCGAGCGTTGACACAAGAGATAATCTGACCGTCTCGCGCCATTGCTTGCTGGATGCCCTGACTGGACCGCCCGCGGGTTGCACGCCAGTGATTTCCTCCAGGGCCCGCTCCAACGAATCGCCGGACGGAATCGCAGCTCAGTCGCCATGAGCGAATGGCACCTGTTTGGGAGGCCGGTAGTCGTCCAACGGACAAGGGGGGCATCACTGTAAGTCGGTGTCGATACGCGGGAGAAAATCCTTTTCTGACGAACTTGCCTCCACGCGCTGCTCGCCGTCCGGGGGGGAAAAAAAAACACGGGGACTTCAGGTTGATCAGCAATTGGTAGCGCCATCTGCTCGCCAGCCTCGTACCAGTCGCGTTCCTTGTCGCCGTTGGCTTTCGGGGTGTCCTGACGAGGCTCGTCGTCGCATGACATGTTCCAGCTGATCTTGGAACGAGAGACGTTCACAATCAAGCCGTGGCGTTGGGGCTCTTTCCTTCGAGCACCACCCACTGGAAGTTCAAACGTAGTTTCCTTCTCCGATGATTCCATTTTCATCGGTGGTAGATGTTACGGCAGACGACCAATAAGTTGCCCGCTTTCCGTCACAAGGGGAACGTTCGCAGCCCGAATGATCGGGAACACGTGTGCTTGTTCAGCATGCTATTATTCTTATGGGCCTTATTGCAGCAGTCTCTTGCTCAGGTTCAGAAGTGAACGTGTGACGCAATTCTCGTAACCATGGCGAAATGTGATGTTGTGCTTGTACTATGCCTGTAATCGGGATGTTAAGGGAGAGGGATGGCCGTTCGGCGGGGGGGCGGGCGCTCATCGATGTTTTAACTGATTGCAGCCAATACACCGGCGGGTATGTATATACGAATGATACTGAGGCATGGCGGGGGACGTGACTAAATCAAATGATCCATGTCGAACTATCAAACCAGCATCCTCGGAGCCAAAATCAATGACCGCCTTCTGAAAGGTGCAACCTTGGCAGGAGCCAAGAAAGGTACGTGCGACGTTTCCCAGAAAGGTCATTGACGAGTTTCAGCAAGGTGCTGCCAAACAAGTGTGGAAACATATGTTGCCAGTGCCAACTTAAGTCGAAATGTGTCTGCGAACGGATGCCTACAAGCACCTACGATGGAAAACTACACAGCAGGTGCAGAAACACCGTACCCACGTTGGTGGCATGCCAGTCAACAGCTTGAGACAATGTGAATACGGCTACACACAGAGAGAAGTGAGTAGGGGTGCTTCGTGTCGTGACGACTTGCACGATGGCTTCGGACATCGCGCGGATCGCTAAACCTTGAACAATCAGGGCAATCAAATAACGAACAACGTTCGATATCGCACGACTCCAAGCCACCAGCGGTGCTCAACCTTGAACGCCCGCGCGGGGGCGTGAGACTATCCGCGCATCATAGACGAGCAACCGGCAATGTAGATGACGAGTCGGGGAAATCATGGAGCAAGCCTCCCCAAGAGAGCGTCCCGTACACGGCCTTGACCATTTCTCTTTCCCTGCGGGTCATGGCACCGACATTTCAGAATGTCATCTCATCCATGCGCGCCTCACCTACTACACCAACGCAGTCCCCGACAGCAGGTGGTCAGAATCTCAACTGATCCGCATCAAACCCATGCTCCACTGTGTGATAAGATTTGCCGACCCACTCCTGCACTCCCCGTAACACCTTCCCGAAGGTGTGGACGGGGGGGCGAGCGTCCAAAACGGGTCACTCCCGACAGGATGGCCGCATGTAACCCAGCATGGCCCCCATGATGGCGCAACGTGGCCCAACTTGGTCCGGCATGGATTCTTGCATGGTTCCAGATGGCGCCCCAGTCGGCACGGGATGCCCACAGGAACTCCCACGGCTACCTCTGGGGGAGCCAACGCCCGCTGATGCGGCTGATGTCGCTGTCGTGTCGTTGATGTGGGCCTTCTCGCCATCAGTGGTCCAGAAGGGCACCCAAGTGAGTCCCAGAAGGGGGTTATTAATAGTATTATTATTCGTAATAATAATAATATTGTTATTATGATTACTACTATTATTTATTATCTATTACCCGGGCCCCAAAGTGGCGAACCCCGATGGGTGACATGTTGTCTTCCCGACGGCATGGGGAACTGCCCCGCGCGGGCCCGAAACTGCGAGGCATGGCTTTATCCATAGACGCCTCGGGCGACGGGCTCCCAAGAGGGTATCACAATGCCCCTATGACGGCTCCCAAATGCCCCAGGCCGCTTCCAGGAATCCCCAGGCTGGGCATTGCTAGAGGCTCCTCGCTCTTGGTGCCCACCAGTGCCAGGCAACCGAACACACTGGATTCGCTCCAGATGCGGAGGCGACGGAGCGGATCAAACATCATGCCTGCGACCGCCCCGCGAACTACCTAAAACAAGCGCGTCGCGCAAGCCTTGCCGCCGAGTCCGCGAGCATGGGGCGAGAAGGCCCTGGGCTTCTGAGAAAGGATCGGCCCCTTCTCGAGGGCTGTGAGGGTCCTTCGAAGTCATCGAGAAGTGGCAGATCTCTTCTCAGGCTGGTGGCGTTGGCTAGGCTTCGTCTCGATGGCTTTGAATCGCAAATCGCGTCGAACATTGAACACAACGCGCAGATCGCACTTCGCCCGGGGAGCACAGCTGCCGATCATCGAATCCGCCACCGTGACTGCAGCACGTTGAGGTGTGGAAAACAGCCAAGAGCAGCCTGGCAGGGTTTCTGTAGTCTTCTTAGGAAACCTCCTCCGCGGGAAGCGCCCACACACTTGTACCATCCCTACTCCCGGAGGGTCCCTGGGCGGCCATGGCGCCTCTCTGGGCCACTCCAAGGTGTCCACGACAATTCAGGATCGCTCGAAGACTCCCAAGATGGCCCCCGGACTGCCCAAGAGGCATCACGGAATCCCCGAGAGCGTTCCAAGATGACCTCCAAGAGAGCCGAACGAAACAATAATCATTCCCAACCATCCTGTGGTGTTGGGTCCTCGCCCCTTCAAAGAGGCAACGCCCCGCGCTCCTTCTTCCTCTCCTCCTCCTCCCCCTGGCCCTCCTCCCGTCACCCCTTTCACTTTGGCAAGCCCCTATACGTCCCCCATAGGACCTTCACTGAGGGCCCCCGTGGCGCAGCCCGCATGCGTTCCAGCCACCCATGTCGGCACACCCCTCACACGTTCCGTGGCCACATTGGGAACTACACCCAGGGTCCCAGCGGCGCAGCCCGCATGCGTCCCCGCCACCCATGTCGGCACACCCCTCACACGTTCCGTGGCCACATAGGGAACTCCACCGAGGGCCCCAGCGGCGCAGCCCGCATGCGTCCCCGCCATTCAAGTGGGAACACCCCTCGCACGCTTCGTGGCCCCATAAGGGATCCACCGAAGGTCCCACATGTGCAGCCCGCGTGCGTACCCCCCACCCATGTCGGCACACCCCATCATACGTTTCGAGGCCCCAGAGGAACTCCGCCGAAGGTCCCAGTGGCGCACCCGCGTGCGTCCGCGCCACAAATTTCGGCACACCCCTCACCCGTGTCGCGGCCCCCGTAAAAGGGCTCCACCGAATGTCCCAATGGGGCAGCCCGCATGCGTCCCCGCCGCCCCTTCTGGCACACCCCTTCACCAAACACGCTCACACCACCCATTTTGGTACACCCCGCTCACGCTTCGTGGCCCCATAGGAAGTTCGACGGATGGCCCCAAAGGCGGTGCCAAGATGTGTCCCCGCCACCCATTTCGGCACACCCCTCGCACGTTTCGTGAGCTCCACCCATGGACCCGGTGGCAATCCACAAGCGTCTCCACAACCAATTTCGGCACACCCCTCACACGTTTCGTAGCCCCATAAGGGAGCTCTACCGATGGACCCAATGGCGGTGCCCACGTACGTCGGTACCCACGTGCGTCCCCACCGTCCACTTCGGAATGCCCCTCGCGCGTCTCGTGGCTCCATAGGGAGCTCCACCGAAGACGATACTCACAACTGCGTTATGCAAAACTGCACATGGCTGGGTCCTTCGCCAGGCAATTTGGCCTTCACTGCGCTGTTGTACGTTTTGTTACTAATATTCTCGCCGGCTGCAGTTTCCGACGCTCCATGGCGGCCGCAGGTACCCTCCCAAACCGCCCCATGACGGCCCAGAAGCCCCAAACAGGATCTCCAAACGGCCCAAAAGGATTCCCACACGGCCCCTTAGGCGCCCAAGGCAGCCCAAAGAGCCCCAAGACGGCCCCAAGATGGGCCCCAAACGGGGAACACGAATCGACACTTTTTTCCGCCCGGACAGGGTCCGAGGAGGGTCAAAAGAGGCCTCCAAAAAGCCCCGAGTCCCCCTGGCGCCCCCGAAAGACCATCAAAAAACCACCAAGGACCCCAGACGGCCCCCAAGAAGCCTCCAAACTGCCTCCAACAGGCCCCCGAGAGGCCTCCCACTATGCAGCACCAACGAACATCCCAGAGGCCTGTAACCCACAACCCAGGCACGGTGGCGGGCCTTGCCGTAAGCACCTGGATACCACACGGAACAACAACAAATTAGCGGATTGATTTTTTCATGCCGGTAGGACCTGACGAAAGAAGCACGCTAGGAGCGAGGACGAGGGGACAGAAACAACATAAACAAGAACGCTCGGAAGGCCGCGCAAATCTCGGCGCTTGATCCCCTCTTCTGGCGCACTAGGAGAATTGCAACCGGCTGATGGGGGGAGATACCGGAGAAATACTTGAAGTTCGTGTTTGAGTCTGGGTAAAAGAAATATGACAAACATTGAATCCGAACCCCGCAAGAACCTAAAGCTCGAAATGAACTCAAGACGGCACCCGGGCACAACGACGGGGTCGAAAAGCGCGGGGGCGGCGGACACCAGCGATCGCAGAACGGAGAGGTCGCACAGAAAGCTCGCACGTACGAGGATGCCGACGATCAACTTAGGAAGGCACCAACTATACACCAACACCGATCCTGGCCAGGATCACCCTGGGCCCAGGATCGGTGTATCTCCGACAACTTCGACGTCGGGCCAGCGCGGGAGGCCAGGAAGAGCGCGACTCGGGCAGGCGCCCGATCGGAGCGCGAGCTGCCGCCGCGCCGCACCCGGGCCCCCCGCGCGCACGCGCCGACGCTGCGCTGGCAACATCCCCGAACCGATGGTGTGAAAGGCGCGATGTGCGCCGCGACCCCCGGCGGCGGCGCCCGTTGGCCGCGCCGCGCGTGAGCAGCGCGACAGAAAGATGGGAACGAATAGCGCGTGGGTAAACCAGGACGGCGAGGAAGGCTGAGGGGGCGGGCGTGGGCAGGGGGGCGGGGGGCGGGCAGGGGCGAGGTGTCGGGGAATAGATGGGTGAGTCAGCTGTTATCGTTTTGTCCCTGCGCCGTCGCCGAGTGGCCCCCTTGCCTGCTTTGGGGCGGGGGCGGCGGCGACTACGTCCGGAGGCGATCGTCTTATCCCGAATTGTCCCGCAACTGCGAAACTCCAGGCGCCGACCGGTCCTCGCCCAGTGCCCGCCGTGCGAGGCAGGCGAGAGCGCCCCGATTCGAGCGGGGGCCGACCGCCCCGGCAACCCTATTGACCAGTGACCTACCTGGATACGTCCCCCTACGGGGGAATCGTCCCAAAATGCGCCGTGCCGGGACCTCGCCGTCAATGACGTTTTCTCCCACGAAGGCTGGAGCGTGTCTTCGCAAACCCGGGCCTCCTGCTGGGCAAGGCGGGCCCCCCCCGCCCTCCGCGCCCAGCGCGCGCCGCCCTGTCGGGACCCCGCGCGCCCCGCGTCGGAGTGATCGGCATGGGCCCAGAAAAACGGCGCACGCTGGCCACGGGGGACCAAGTCCGGGGCTGCCCAGGGCGCGAGGGGAAACAGTATACCCCAAAGTTCGAAGGCAACTCGGGAGCGAGGAAAAAGTTCGATAGCCACGCCGACGCGCGGAAAAACCTCAACTGGCAACGGGTGCAGAAGTACGCTCAACTTGCTTGTCGAAATTTGGAAACAGTTCAAAAGCAGTTCAACACTTTCAAACAGTTTGAGGAAGTTGGCAGACCTTGGAATGTCAAGAAACATGGGAGAACAAAGCGCTTCAAACGCAACGTATTGCATGAATGAAATAATCAAACAACAATCAAAACAAAGTGAAAAACAAAAACCTCAGAAACCCCACATAAGTTCAACAACATGAGGTAAGCAATCAAAGCGCATGAAAACACATAGGACAATTACCAAATGTTCAAATCTACTAACACTTATGTTGGAAGTTCGCCTGGAAAAAAAACATATGCAGATGCGAGTACCGCGTTATCGGCACCGCTTCCGTTGCAGCTCCCTGTGGGGCCACGAGCCGTATGAGGGGCGTGCCGAATTGGACGCCGTGGTGCCACGAGAACCCTGCCACTGGAGCCTTCGGTGAAGCATCCTCTGGGTCTACAGGACGCGTGATGGGTTTGCCGACTTGGGCGCGGTGGTGCCACGCGGGACCTCCCACTGCAGCCGTCTTTGGAACTCCCTATGGGGCCGCGAACCGCGTGAGGTGCGCTGGAAAAAAACATGCGGCGGGCGGGGGGGCGCATGCGGACGCGGCCACTGGGGCCTTCGGTGGAACTCCCCATGGGGCCGCGAACCGCATGAGGGGTGTGCCGAAATGGACATGCGGTGGGCGGGGGGGGGGGGACGCGTGCGAAGGGTGTGCCGAAATTGGCATGCGGCGGGCGGGGAGGGCGCGTGCGGACGCGACCACGGGAGACTTCGGTGGAACTCCCGATGGGGCCACGAACCGTGTGAGGGGCGCGCCCGAATGGACATGCGGTGGGCGGGGAGGGCGCATGCGGACGCGACCAAAAGGGCCTTCAATGGAGCTCCCTATGGGGCCACGAACCGTGTGAGGGATGTCCCGACATGGGCATGCGGTGGGCAGGGAAGGCGCGTGCGGACGCGGCCAATGGGGCCGTCGGCAGAGCTCCCTATGGGGCCACGAAGCCTGTGATGGGGGTGTGCCGACATGGGCATGCGGTGGGCGGGGAGGGCTCATGCGGACGCGGCCACTGAGGCCTTCAGTGGAGCTACCTGTGGGGCCTCGTACTGTGGAAAATGTGCCAGAATGGACATGCGGTGGGCGGGGAGGGCGCATGCGGACGCGACCACTTGGGCCTTCGGTGGAGCTCCCTATGGGGCCACGAACCGTGTGAGGGGTGCCAAAGTGAGAGAGGGTGACGGGAGGAGGGAGGAGGGAGGAGGGGGAGGGGGAAGGGGGAGGAGGGGGAGGAGGAGAAGAGAGGAGAGGAGAGGAGAGGAGAGGAGAGGAGAGGAGAGGAGAGGAGAGGAGAGAGGAGAGAGGAGAAGAGAGGAGAGGAGAGAGGAGGAACGCGCGGAGCTGTCTCTCCAAAACGAGGACCCAACACCACAAGATGGTTGGGGCACAAATCAAAAGTTTAAGAACAGTCTGGGTGCAATTTGGAAAAAAAGGCTCAAGAAATTGGAAACAAATGTTCAACACAAATTCAAATTCATACGCGCCCCGGGACGTTTCGCCGAAAACTGCCCCCCCCCCCCCCCCGGGCGGCCCCGGATACCTGAGGAGGGGCCAGTGGAGGGCGAGGAGCTCTGTGGATAACCCCCTGGGCGCGTGCGCGCGCGCCAATGCATCAGCGCGGCCATGGGGCCGTGCCAGCTCATCGCCCGCGGGGGCGCGCAAACGCCTTGCCTTGGCCACGCGGCCGGCCCCGCCCGCGCGCGGCGCGCGGGCCCGCCGTCCCGCGGGCCGCGCGTCTGCTAACCCCCGACCCCGCGACGTGCGCGCAAGGGCGCGCGGGCCCGCGGCGCGGCCGCGGGGCCGTAGAACATATGGCGCGGTCGTAGCCTCGCCCATGCACTTCACGGACAAAAGCTAATGTTTTTTGACTCCTTGGCCAAAGGTGCACTATGGGCTGGCCATCTCCACCCGCGCGTTCTGCGCGGCGCGCGGCGGGCCCTCTCGCGCGGCCGCGCAGCGCCGCGAGGCGCCGCTGAGCCCACGCGCGCGGCTGCAAAGAGCCCGCTGGTGCGACGCGCGCGAAGCGTCGCCGAGGATTGCGCCCGCGCGTTGCGCGCGAGTTGCCGCCGCGGGGGCCCGCCCGCGCGCCCCGTTCGTGGCCCAACTCGAAGACGGATACAAAGTATAGGCCCAACTCGAGTGCGGAGCATGGCCCTACCATGCAATTGCTGCAGCGGCGCAAACAATATTTGCAAGCGAAGCTCGAGTGAGCTGTTGGAGACCTGTGATCTTTTCACCTAGCACTACGACAACACTTCAAGTCTCCGACCGTGGGGCCGATCGAATTTCGGCCCAATCTGCCTGGGCCAGATGGGACGCAGTCTGCCGTGCAAGTGTTCCAGACAAAAAGATTTCTGGCGCCAACTTTGCACGCGCACCAATCTACAATTTCTCGGCCGCCGAAAATCCGCCGACCCTGTCGGCGTGTGGAAGACGCATCCCGGTGTCGTCGTCTTGCGTGGATCACCGTCGTCGTCGTCGTCGTCGTCGTCGTCTCCGTCGTGTCCTCGTCGTCTCCGTCTCCGTTGTCCCTCGTCGTCTTCGTCGTTCCCCGTCTCCTTGAGCGCGCGAGCCAAAGCGACATTGAGCAACGTCGTAGTTGAGTCGTGGCGAAGCCCCTCCCTACCCTCCCCGCCGGGGGGGGGGGGGGTCGCCGGGGGGGTCGCCACCCAGATACGCATCCTCCCCGGGGGGTCCCGGAGCTCAGAAAAGCTTCAAGACGAGCCAAGAGCGACAGAAGACACCCCCAAAAGGGTACAAGAGGGCCTCGACTCGACGAACGATGGCCCCAAGACGCCCGGCCCGAAGACGGCCCGAGGCCCTCAGACGCTCCAAGAGAGCCCCAAGAGGCCCTCAAGACGCCTCCAAGAGAGCCCCAAGAGCACTCCCAAGAGGGCCCCAGGCGCCAAAATCGTCAATTTTACATAGCTTTTTGAATGATTTTGGCCTTCTCGCCTTTTCGGCTTTCCGACACTCCAAGACGGCCCAAGAGGCCCCCAAGAGGCCCCCAAGGGCCCCAAGACGGCCCAAGAAGGCCCCAGGACAGCCTAAGAGGCGCCCAAGACGGCCCAATAGGGCCCCAAGACGGGCCCAAGAAACGGCCAAGAGGGGGACGAGGAACCGAGAATTCGAGACTTCCGCCCTAAGAGGCCCCCGGGAAGCCCCAAGAGGCCCCCAAAAGGCCCCAAGAGGCCCCCAAGCGGCGCCAAGACGCCCCCAAGATGCGCCGAAGACGGCCTCCGGAAGCCCCAAGAGGCCCAAAAGAGGCCCCAAGAGGCCCCACAACGGCCCCCAAGAGGCTTCAAGTTGCCTTCCAGACGCCCCCGAGAGGTCAACCACGAGATCCCAACCAACATCCATAAGGCCTCCTCCTCCTCCCCCTTCACCCTTCCTCCTCCTACTCCCTTCCGCCTCCTCCTCCTCCTCCTCCTCCTCCTCCTCCTCCTCCTCCTGCCCACCCCCTCGTGTTGTCTTTCGTCATCTTCAGGGTCGGCGGCAACGGCCGTAAGGCCTTCGCAATAATAAGAGTGTTCCTCGCTGCCGAACGCTATCTTAGCTGTTGCCGAACTTGTTTCCAGATGCGTTGAACCTAAGTGCTGAAAACCAAAAGATGGCATCACACTGTTCCGACCTTCGGATAACTTAACACAAGGACCGCCCGCGCCCCCTCAGCCTGCTACAATACGAGAGCCAAGGGACGCGCCGAGGGAGGTCCAACGCCGACCCAAAGACATTGGGAAACATCAGAAGACATCAGAAACATGTCAACGCCCATACTTCTCCTTAGAATGACTTAGAATGAGAGCCACCCCCCTCGCCCCGCTTGAATACTGTGAGGGAGAGGGGTCGACGGGTCCTGGACAGGGCCTCTACCCACTGGCGTTCGATCCCGAGCTGTTTTCAGCAAGGCCCCGTAGCCAACACAGGACCCCGTGAGCCCGAGACTGGCTGGAAACCTCCAAGGCCCGTTTCACCCAGGACCCGCTGGCTTCATGGCCACGTCCCGACGAAATCCAGCGATCGAATGCCGTTCTCTCCGCTCGCTTGGCTCGGAGGTCTCATGTGAGACGACGGCGGCTCTCCCGCCTGGCACGAATCTGGTCACGATAGGACCCGGGACCCCTCCTGGCTGGAGCCAATCCTGACCCATCTCGCGAGGAGGGTCCAGCCATGGCGACGAGGAGCCTTAGGCAGACCCAAGCAGACGAGAGTACAAGTGAGGAGAGCCGCCGTTGTCTCGACGGGCCCTCATCGGACTGGCGGACACACCCCCGAAGACGCGAGGGGGCCCCAATAGGCACATCTGGTGCCGCCGTCGAAGGGGGGACCGATGCGTTAGCAGCTGTGTCTTAAGGTGGCATGTTTCAAGATCCTGCCAAGGGTATAGTCATCGTGCTACCACCAGGAGGGCCGAAGAAAGAACGAAGGGGCATCTCTGGCCACGGCGAGCCTCGGCCACGAATGGGCTCCGCGAACTAGATCTGAGGAACGGCCGACCTTCCAGAGCCCCTCCTGCGCCCCAAATGCTCATTGTTTCAGCGTCTCGACTGTACGCTGGAGGTTCCGTCTGTTCTGGGCCCGCCCCCAACCCTCACCAGGGGAACCTTGGGCACGCCGGCAGACCTACCCACCCAGCCCTCTGGGCAACAGGTGGTCTAAGGAGGGTCTATTTCCTCTTCCACAACCCCTCTTCCCTTCGGGGAGGGGAACCCTCTCCCTCCCCTCCCTGAGGTTTTTCGGCAGGTTTCGCAAGGTGTCGGAGGCTCCCTGTTCGGCCTGTGGGAGGGCCTATTTCTGACACTCCTTACGAAGATCGTGGCCCCCGAGGTGGGGAGGACGCACATCGAGTACCCCCCTCTTTTGACCGGGCTGGTGGGGACGCGCGCAGCGTCAAGAATTGTCCTTCGGGCATCGCAGCACCCATCCCTGCACAGAAGGGGGGGGCGCTGGGAGAGCAAGCTGACCCGGCCTCTGCGCTCTTGCTCCGCAACCCCCTGTCCGCACTATCCTGCGGCGCGCGGCTCAGGAGCGGGCGCGTCGTGCGCCGCGCTCAGCTGCACAGGCGGAGCGCTTCGCCAAGCCAGGCGAAGGCACCCACAGAGTGTTCAGCCTTCACCTTGAAAACCGGCCTCGGCACCGCCACCGCATCGAGAAGGTGCGAACGTGCAACGTGCAACACTGCGTCTCAACATAAATGCCCGACGGAAACTACCGAGCCCACCACCTGTTATTTCGGTTCGGCCACTCCAAATCGCCGTCGTTGCGCACGACGTTGCTTCCTGCGCGCCGGGAAAGGTGGCCAGCAAGTCGCAAGTCATCGCGACATATACCAGTGGAACCCACGACCTCCTGGAGAACACATAAGCGTGCGTGAGCTCGGGGTATGACGGGGAAAAGAGGAGTGGAAAGGGGACGCCAGGAATGATGGCAACGAAGACCATGTCGGCACATACGTATCACACCGCACCTCGCGACGGGATGGCACCCTATTTCCTCGTCCCCATCGTTTAACCCAAATCCGCCACCGTGCCAGGGGTACTCTGTGGAGTTTTCTCAAGTCCCATCAAACTGTCCATGTGGAGGATCGTGGATGTTCTCTGAGGCACAACGCGAAAATTCAAAATATCCTCGCCCAGACAGCGTGTAACAACAGAGTGACCAACCTGCAGTGAGCGAGCCTGTGCATGGAGCAAGGGCTTGGGACAGCGGGCGCACACAGCAGCTTGTACATGCGTATGCTTACACATTTCGATACACATGCATATCTAAGTCTTTACGTATGCACACATCGGAGGTTGGGGGGTGAGATTGAAGTGGAACCGAGAGCCCCCACCGGGAAATCGGTTTCGGTTTCGTGTTCGTGCGTGCCGTGCGTGCGAGGCGAAACTGCGTGGGCGGGCGAGAAGAAAGTCTCCTCCGGCTGAGGCGCGGCCGGACCAACTGTTTCCTTTCTGGGGGCCGGTGCAGCGCGGTGTCCAGCCGATGTCCCGCCTCCGGCTGAGGCGCGGCCGGACCAAATGTCTCCTTTCCGGGTGCCGGTGCCGTAAGGTGTCCCGCCGGTGTCCCGCCGGTGTCCCGTCGGTGTCCCGATGATGATGATGATGGTGATGATGATGATGATGATGATGATGATGATGATGATGATAATGATGATGATGATGACGAGAGGAAAGTCTCCTGTGGCTGAGGCGCGGCCGGACCAAATGATTCTCTCTCCGGCAAGCGGTGGCGCGCGGTGTCCCGCCGGTGTCCCGCTTGTGGCTGGGCCCCAGCCCGACCAAATGATTCTCCCTCCAGCAAGCGGTGGCGCGCGGTGTCCCGCCAGTGTCCCGCCGGTGTCCCGGTGTCCCGCTGGTGCGAAAACGATAGTGAGACCGATGACGAAATCGATTGTGAGATCGATAGTGAGATCGATAGTGAGACCGATAGTGAGATCGATCGTGAGATTGATAGTGAGATCGATAGTGAGATGAATAGTGATATCGATTGTGAGATCGAGGGATATCGATAGGAAGATCGTTAGTGGGATCGATAGCGAGATCCAGAGTGAGGACTATTTCCAATGATATAGTTAGTTTGATTATTTCGTTGGTTCCCGGGGAGGGAGAACGACACCAAGGCGCCCAAGAGCGAAGGATGACGTAAACAACTCGACACCAAGGCTCCCAAGAGCGAGCGGCAACGCAACAATCACCACTGTTGCCCATTGCTGGCCCCCCTCCCCCCCCCAACCTCCTTATCACCCGCAGGGTGGTCGTATAGGTATATACACAAATACCTATACGACCACCCTTCGGGTGATAAGGAGGTTCGGGGGGGGGGGGAAGAACCAACGTCTCACTCGATCGGTCTCACTATCGATCTCACTATCGACCTCACCATCGGTCTCGCTCGATCGATCTCACTCGATCGATCTCACAATCGATCTCACTCGATCTATTTCATTCGATCGATCTCACAATTGATCTGACTATCGATCTCACAATCGATCTCACTATCGATATCACTATCGATCTCACAATCGATCTCACATTCGGTCTCACTATCGATCCCGCTATCGATCTCACAATCAACGTCATCAACATCAACATCATCGTCATCAACGTCATCAACATCATGATCATCGGGACACCATCACCATCACCTCATCACCATCATCATCAACATCATCATCACCATCATCGGGACGGCATCATCGTCACAATCATCATCATCACCAGCATCATCATCATCATCATCAGCATCATCATCATCGGGACACCATCATCACCATCATCGAGACACCAACATCACCTTCATCAGCATCTCATCATCATCATGATCATGATCATGATCATCATCATCATGATTATCATCATCGGGGCACCATCATCATCAGCAACATCATCATCACCATCGGGACACCATGATCATCGTCACCATCATCATCATCACCATCATCATCATGATCATCATCATCATCGGAACACCATCATCATCAACATCCGCATCATCATCATCAAAAGCATCGGGCCACCATCATCAAAATCATCATCATCATCACTTCATCATCATGCTCATCACCATCATCATCACCCTCATCATCGTGACACCATCATCGTCACCATCACCATCATCAACATCATCATCAGCCTCGGGGCACCATCATCATCACCATCATCATCAATATCATCATCATCATCAACCTCTTCATCATCATCATCATCATCATCATCACCCGGGCACCATCACCATCATCATCACCATCACCATCACCATCACCATCATCATCATCATCATCATGATCATTTAATCATCATCATCAACATCATCATGATCATCAACATCATCATCATCACCATCATCATCATCATCATCGGGACACCATCATCATCAGCAGCATCATCATCATCAACAGCATCATCGGGACACCATCATCACGACCATCACCATCATCATCATCATCATCATCATCCTTAGCATCAACATCGTCATCATCATCATCATCATCATCACCACCATCACCATCACCATCACCATCAGCATGACCATCACCATAACCATCACCATCACCATCACCATCACCATCACCATCACCATCACCATCACCATCACCATCACCATCACCATCACCATCACCATCACCATCACCATCATCACCACCACCACCACCACACACCACCACCACCACCACCACCACCACCACCACCACCACCATCATCATCATCATCATCATCATCATCATCATCATCATCATCATCATCATCATCATCATCATCATCATCATCATCATCATCATCATCATCATCATCATCATCATCATCATCATCATCATCATCATCATCATCATCATCATCATCATCATCATCATCATCATCATCATCATCATCATCATCATCATCATCGGGACACCGACGGGACACCGGCTGGACACCGGCGGGACACCGCACGGCACAGGCCCCCGGAAAGGAAACATTTGGTCCAGCCGCGCCTCAGCCGGAGGCGGGACACCGGCGGGACACCGCGCTGCACCGGCCCCTGGAAAGGAAACATTTGGTCCGGCCGCGCCTCAGCCGGAGGAGACTTTCTTCTCGCCCGCCCACGCAGCTTCGCCTCGCCCGCACGCTCGGCACGCACGAACACGAAACCGAAACCGATTTCCCGGTAGGGGGGGCTCTCCGTTCCACTTTGATCTCACCCCCTCACCTCCGATACACACTGTTCTGGGGGCGTACGTCCACGCCAGTGGCCAAGTTAGCCCAAAAGCTACCCTTTTTCCCCGAGCGCCCAGAACCCGCCCCCAGGACCCTTCGCCAAAGGTTCCACTGCGCCCACACATCGCGGGCAGAGAGACCCTCAAAGGAAAGGCCAGGCACCGAAGCACGGCGCGCTTCCGAACAGGAGGAGCAGCCATGGGACGTCTGGTCCCCTGGCACCCATCCCGTGGGATGCCCGACCACCAGCTGGCAAGCGGATGTGGGGACGGCTCCTCGCATACTCCTACCAAACACTGGCGCCCCACAGACACCTACGGGCAGCTACTGGGAACAACGGCTTACAAAGGCATACGCTGAAGGGTCAACAACTAACTCCCCGCATCTCCAACCTTGGCGCCCACGCCGTTTTACTCTACACGACCGTTAACCGCATTCGCAACCTAAACTTAGGTCAGCGAACCTGTCGAGCATATGCAGAAACAAAAAAGGCCTCTTCGAATTTCCTTACGGCCGGACGTCTGGCCTCAATAATGGTCTCTTCGAATTTCCTTCTGGCCGATAACCCAAGAAATAGTCTCAACATATTGAGGCCATGCAGAATGCCTGGGCTCTGCTGCTCATCAGCTCTGACCTTGGCAAGATTGACAAGATCTGCAACAGCGCTTTCGACATATATATATATATATATATATATATATACAAGACTGCAGTGGCGCTTCGCGCCATGCACCTTGGTCCTTGAAGTTTGGCAGGCGGAATGGCAGGAAGGTCAAGCGGGCAATTTAGCGAAAATTCCTGGTTGCCTTTTCCGGCATCGCCGCTATAATGATGTTATTCGTTATCTTCCCTCCATGCTTATTGTTCCTTGTTTTCGCCATACCCTGCGCATGCTCCCCATCCTCCTCAGCTTTTTTTTGCGGAGGCTGCTCCTTGGAGGGCCTCGAGGGGCCTCGCAAAAGTTGTTTCGGGCTTTCTTGAGGCCGTCTGGAGGCCTCCTGGGCGTATTCTGGGGGCCTCCAGGGGCTTCCTCGGGCCACCCTGCCTCCAACCGCCGTACGACCGAATCACGATTTGGAATTCTTCGGAGGGCGTCTTTGGGTCATCTTGGGCCGCCATGGGGCTCTCTGAGGGCCATCTTGGACCCGTGTTGTGCCGTTTTGGGGCTCTCTTGGACTGCCTGGAAGCCCTTTCGGATGGTTGTGGGGCGACTTGGGAGCCTCCCAGGCGGCTTCGGACGCCCAGAAGACCGCCGTCTTAGAGCGTCGCGAAGCCGAAAAGAGGAGAACCCCAGAATTCACCAAAAACCGAAAGAAAATCAATGATTTTTGCCTCGGGGGGCCTTCTTGGGAGTGCTCTTGGAAGCCTCTTTGGGGCCGTCCTGGAAACCTCTTGGGCCATCTTGAGGTCACGTCGGTCACTCTTGGAGCCCTCCTGTGCTGTCTTGGGGGTCTCTCGGACGTCTCCGATGACTCCCCTGATCGCCCTAAGTGTGTTGGGAAAGCTTGGCGAAACGCCTTGCGAGGCCCGGTGGCCGCTTCGAGGCCCGTCTGGAGGGCCCCAAAGCCCCAGGTCCCGGGAGTCCG